ACAGACAAGACAACAGATAACAGACAAGACCACAGATAACAGACAAGACAACAGATAACAGACAAGACAACAGATAACAAACAAGACAACAGATAACAGACAAGACGACATAAAACTGATAACAGACAACATTGAAGGCAACAGACAACAGACAAAACAACAGATAAAAGACAAGAAATAGACAGTAGACACGAAACAAGACAACAGACAAGACAACAGACAAGATAACAGAGAAGAAAACAGAGAAGACAGCAGAGAAGACAACAAACAAGACAACAGACAAGACAACAGAGAAGGCAACAGACAAGACAAGAGACAACAGACAACAGACAACAGACAAGACAGACAAGACAACAGAGAAGGCAACAGACAAGACAACAGACCCATGAAATAGACAGTAGACACGAAACAGATAACGGACAAGACAACAGAGAAGGCAACAGAGAAGGCAACAAACAAGACAACACACAAAACAACAGACAAGACAACAGGGAAGACAACAGACAAGACAACAGACAAGACAACAGACAAGACAACAGACAAGACAACAGACAAGACTACAGACAACTGACAAGACAACAGACAAGGCAACAGACGAGACAACAGAGAAGGCAACAGACAAGACAACAGACCCATGAAATAGACAGTAGACACGAAACAGATAACAGACAAGACAACAAACAAGACAACAGACAAGACAACAGAGAAGGCAGCAAACAAGACAACACACAAAACAACAGACAAGACAACAGAGAAGACAACAGACAAGACAACAGACAAGACAACAGACAACTCAACAGACAAGACTACAGACAACTGACAAGACAACAGACAAGGCAACAGACAAGACAACAGACACATCAACTCACGATATGATGCTCGGGTTCATCCTGAAGAACGGCATTGATCCAGACGACAATAGCGTTCATGGTTCCTGCAGCCTCCTCTTCATCGTACCTCTGTGATCAAAACCACACGAGGACACTGACATCATCGCTCATTGTTCAAAGGTGAGGAGTTTCTTCTTCTTCTTCTTCTTCTTCTTCTTCTTCTTCTTCTTCTTCTTCTTCTTCTTCTTCTTCTTCTTCTTCTTCTTTTTCTTCTACTTTTTCTTCTTCTTCTTCTCTTCTTCTTCTTCTTCTTCTTCTTCTTCTTCTTCTTCTTCTTCTTCTTCTTCTTCTTCTTCTTCTTCTTCTTCACCGGCTTTAAACTCTGGCCGAAAGTTCTGGTTGTTCGTCCAGTTTTGTTCGTCCAGAAACTGAGTGTTGCGTGCACATCCGTTTCAAAGGTCTGATTCATCTGCATGCAGATTGTTAGTTCCTTGCCCCCTCAGGCAGATGTGCTCCGACTTCAAAGGAAGCTCCCATTTAGTCGACTCCTACGACATGCTTTAGGCAGGCAGTGGGTCTATTCTTGTTCCCCCCCCCCCACAATGGGGCCCCGGAACCCACACGAGGAAGAGTTAAACCACCTAGGTAGTGTATTCACAGAGGGTGGAGGACTGGGCACCTAGGTAGTGTATTCACAGAGTATGGAGGACTGGGCACCTAGTTAGTGTATTCACAGAGGGTGGAGGACTGGGCACCTAGGTAGTGTATTCACAGAGGGTGGAGGACTGGGCACCTAGGTAGTGTATTCACAGAGTATGGAGGACTGGGCACCTAGTTAGTGTATTCACAGAGGGTGGAGGACTGGGCACCTAGTTAGTGTATTCACAGAGTATGGAGGACTGGGCACCTAGTTAGTGTATTCACAGAGGGTGGAGGACTGGGCACCTAGTTAGTGTATTCACAGAGGGTGGAGGACTGGGCACCTAGTTAGTGTATTCACAGAGGGTGGAGGACTGAGCACCTAGGTAGTGTATTCACAGAGGGTGGAGGACTGGGCACCTAGGTAGTGTATTCACAGAGGGTGGAGGACTGGGCACCTAGTTAGTGTATTCACAGAGGGTGGAGGACTGAGCACCTAGGTGGTGTATTCACAGAGGGTGGAGGACTGAGCACCTAGGTAGTGTATTCACAGAGGGTGGAGGACTGAGCACCTAGGTAGTGTATTCACAGAGGGTGGAGGACTGAGCACCTAGGTAGTGTATTCACAGAGGGTGGAGGACTGAGCACCTAGGTAGTGTATTCACAGAGGGTGGAGGACTGAGCACCTAGGTAGTGTATTCACAGAGGGTGGAGGACTGGGCACCTAGGTAGTGTATTCACAGAGGGTGGAGGACTGGACACCTAGTTAGTGTATTCACAGAGGGTGGAGGACTGGGCAGCCAGGTAGTATATTCACAGAGGGTGGAGGACTGGGCACCTAGGTAGTGTATTCACAGAGGGTGGAGGACTGGACAGAGAAATAGAAAACATAATACAGAGGGTCAACATAAATTACGTTGCGTTAATTTCTAGGCGTCTGTCTCAAGAAAGTAAACAGTCAGTTCCCAAATATTTGCCCGACTTTAAAAACCTGTAACTCTGTAACCGGTCAGTGTTAGATGTAGAAATCTGGCATGCAACTTTTTAGCAATCATGTCCTTGCAGAAACAAATTATGATGTAAACAGACTTCTAGTTTTCATTTTGACTTACTTACAGTGTAAGAAAAAATAGACATCCATTCAAAGCAAACAATAAGCATGTTTACATTATAGCTGCACAGTCCGTGGCGACAGCACTAGCCAAGAGATACTAAACCCTCAGGCCCAAGGCCCCCCTGTCTACCCCGCCCTAAAAATTGGTAAAATAGACAGTAATGACAGTGACAGTGATTATAGTAACAGTAGCGACAGTTACAGTAGTGACAGTGACAGTAGTCACAGTAAGGACAGAATGGCTTGAAGCGAAGTGGGCAAAACATCAAACCGTACGCAAGAAACTCAGGCGCGCTTATTTTGCATTGATTGATTGGCACTTTTCCGTCTTTCCAGACGATATGTTAACTTGCGCTATGAGGAGGAATGAGACTCACAGCTTATGTCGATGGCCAGTGTGACTAGCAAGACACGCTTGCATTAGGAAAAGTCTTCCCCAGTCAATTACGGCCAGGGATGAAGTCAATCCTCTCCATAGCACAAAGCCTGGACAGTATTGTAGAGACCAAATGTTGCATATGCATCATGATCTCTCACTCGACCTGCTTTGTTTACTCGAAAGAAAAGGTAACACCAGTACGTTTGGAACAAAGCAGGCTGCAGAAGTTGACGGATCAGAAGAGCAGTGCTCCATCTGTCTGCGTGTCGGAGCTTCCATCTTAGACCAGCTGCCAGCCAAGGTGAATGGCCTGGTCTGCCCTGAGATAGCACAATGTTTCCAGGTAGCTTTTCCTCTTCCTGGAACAAGTTATTTTCAATAGTGAAGTTGATACGTCATGTACTTCCATAATGCTTGTTGACTGCCTCATGAAACGAACACGATTTGTGTGTTACTATATATTTTTTCTTGTCATTTTAGAGGTACTACATTATAAGGCCAACACAGATGAAAGAAAATTGCCGCTGTAATAAAACAGCTTTACCTGTGCCACTGTAAAAAAAATCATAAGGACATGGGAAATCTAATATGACGTGCACAAATTCCAGATGATCGGTACAGAAGTTTTCCAGATATTTGTTAAAGTTTGGGGGCGCCACTGTTCACAGTTTCACTCTAGTGCCCTCGACACATGGGAGCAGAGCTAACACAGACTTGCTTGAGATGTACCGTTTTCAGCTCAAAGTATTCATGGGTTGTCCCGTTTTCAGTTAAAAAAATTAGTAGATTGTGACGTTTTCACTCAAAATATTACTGAGATTTCCCGTTTGCAGCTGAAAATATTAGTGGGATGTCCCGTTTTCGGTTAAAAAAATTTGTGGGTTGTCCCGTTTTCAGGTGGTGGGGGTGGGGGACGGGTGGGGGTGGGGGACGGGTGGGGGTGGGGGTGGATCTCACATGCTCCCGCGAACCTAAAAATACAGTAAAATGACAACAAATGACAAATACATGGGGAGGAGGGAAAAAATCTCACATGTTCCAACTTGCGCTCAATATCTGCTCCAAGACCAGATTTCTTTGCTCTGGTGTCTGCCATCTTTGTTTTTCTGATAGTGGAATGCTGGATGCTGTGGAGATAATAAAACATTGATATCACTGGGCTTTTGACTGCACAAGCTCGTCGACTATTCACATTTACGCATTTTTTTCAGTGAGTTATGTTGGTTGCCTATCCTTTACACGACGTTGCAGAACCAACACCAGCACTGGCTGTTGTGGTTTTTCTAGGCAAATGTACGACTACTAGTTTGCCATTGCTTTCTGGACGGTTGGCTTCTCGATACCTCTGTCGAAACCAACGCAAGGCGCAAGGCCCACGGCTGGGATCGAACCCAGCACCCCGGCGTTACGAAGTTCATTTGTACAAAACACTACAACCAAAGACAAACACTAAAACAAAGGACAAACACTAGAACCAAAGACAAACACTAGGACCAAAGACAATACAAACACGAGAACCAAAGACAAACACTAGGGCCAAAGACAAGACAAACACTAGAACCAAAGACAAACACTAGGGCCAAAGACAAGACAAACACGAGAACCAAAGAAAAACACTAGGGCCAAAGACAAGACAAACACTAGAACCAAAGACAAACACTAGGACCAAAGACAAACACTAGGGCCAAAGACAAACACTAGGACCAAAGACAGACACTAGAACCAAAGACAAACACTAGAACCAAAGACAAATACTAGAACCAAAAACAGAGACACTAGAACCAAAGACAGATACTAGAACCAAAGACAGACACTAGAACCAAAAACAGAGACACTAGAACCAAAGACAGACACTAGAACCAAAAACAGACACTAGAACCAAAGACAGATACTAGAACCAAAGACAAACACTAGAACCAAAGACAAACACTTTCATCAAAGAACAACTACAAACACTTTCATCAAAGAACAACTACAAACACTTTCATCAAAGAACAACTACAAACACTCTCATCAAAGAACAACGACAAACACTTCTATCAAAGAACAACGACAAACACTTTCATCAAAGAACAACTGCAAACACTTTCATCAAAGAACAACTACAAACACTTACATCAAAGAACAACTACAAACACTTTCATCAAAGAACAACGACAAACACTTTCATCAAAGAACAACTACAAACACTTTCATCAAAGAACAACGACAAACACTTTCATCAAAGAACAACTACAAACACTTTCATCAAAGAACAACTACAAACACTTTCATCAAAGAACAACGACAAAACCTTTCATCAAAGAACAACTACAAACACTTTCATCAAAGAACAACGACAAACACTTTCATCAAAGAACAACTACAAACACTTTCATTAAAGAACAACTACCTGCAGATGATCAAGCAGTTACTGCTAGGTCAGTAACAGAACTGCACGTCTACACAAATAATTTAAACTAAATGTGCAAAGAACATAACATAACAATTAACAACACCAAAACACAGGTCATGACCATAACTAAAGCAGACAAATTATTAAATATCCAACTTGCAGAACTGCCTCTGGAGAGGACTTCAAATACTCAGGAAGTAAAATATCCTCAGCTGGCAAATCAGAAGAGGAGATTAATGACAGATGTAACAGAACAAAGCCAATTCATATGGCAAAAAGAATCCATTGTGCGAAATAAATAGATGACTGTAGATAAGCAAAGAGTACTGTATAGGAACATTCTGGCCAACTCTGTGCTGTCAGTTAGCGTCGTGGACAATGACTGAACAAGACAACATAAAAATTACAACTAACATGAGAATCCTGCTAAAGCTCTCAATCCAAACAGGAAATAACAGAATAGAAACAATGAAGTCCAAAGGTAAATGGGGCTGGTGGCAGCTCTGGATTCAAAAAGAAAACAAGTGAAATGATTTGGTCATGTAACGCTGATGTTGGCAGACAGTATACCACAGCAAGCAATGATGTTAGAGACCAGGCGGGAAATAAAAAAAAAAGGCTGACCATTCAAACGATGGACAGAGGGGATAACAGAGTCCCCGGGAATCCTTATTTATGAAGAGCGCAAGCAGGCACTTTCCCGTCAGTTATACTTTACCTCGACACCGCAAGGTACCAGAGGATCAAGATGAGATGGGATGGGATGATATGGGATAGGATCGGAGGAGATGAGATGGGATGAGATGGGATAGGATGGGATGAGATAGTATGGGATGAGATAGAATAGGATGGGATAAGATGAGATGAGATGGGATGAGATGGGATAGGATGGGATGAGATGGGATGAGATGGGATAGGATGGGATGAGATGGGATGAGATGGGATAGGATGGGATGAGATGGGATAGGATGGGATGAGATGGGATGAGATAGGATGAGAAAGGATAGGATGGGATGAGATGGGATGAGATAGAAAAGGATGGGATGAGATGCGATGAGATGGGATGAGATAGGATACAAAAAGCGTAAGACACCTTCCATAACTAGTAATCATCTAATAACAAATGTGATAACATTAAAACCATACAACGTAATACACACATAAAAAAAAAGGGAAAATCGGAGAAGAAGAAGGAGAAGAAAGAGGGGCAGGATGAAGAAAAAGAAAAAGAAGAAGAAGATGGAGAGGAGAAGGGGAGTAGGAAGAGAAGAAAGAAGAAGAAGATGAAGAAGAAGAAGAAGAAGAAGAAGAAGAAGAAGAAGAAGAAGAAGAAGAAGAAGAAGAAGAAGAAGAAGAAGAAGAAGAAGAAGAAGAAGAAGAAGAAGAAGAAGAAGAAGAAGAAGAAAAAAGAAGAAGAAGAGAAGAAGAAGAAGAAGAAGAAGAAGAGAAGAAGAAGAAGAAGAAGAAGAAGAAGAAGAAGAAGAAGAAGAAGAAGAAGAAGAAGAAGAAGAAGAAGAAGAAGAAGAAGAAGAAGAAGAAGAAGAAGAAGAAGAAGAAGAAGAAGAAGAAGAAGAAGAAGAAGAAGAAGAAGAAGAAGAAGAAGAAGAAGAAGAAGAAGAAGAAGAAGAAGAAGAAGAAGAAGAAGAAGAAGAAGAAGAAGAAGAAGAAGAAGAAGAAGAAGAAGAAGAAGAAGAAGAAGAAGGAGAAGAAAAAGAAGAGAAGGAGGAGGAGGAGAAAGAAGAAAAAGAGAAGAAGGAAGACACGGAGGAGGAGGAAGAAGAGGAGGAAGAGGAGGAACAAAAAACAGAAAAGAAGCGCCGATAAGTGCATTATTCACCCTAGAATACAGGTAGATGAGAAAGAAAGACCGACAATGTAACCAGATAATTTCTGATAACAGAGGATTATGAAAGAATGAAATCTATGAGCTTCCCACCATTGTCTGAAGATACCAAACAATCCGCAGCAATTAAAAAAGAGAACTATTTTTAGAACAGCACGTGAAGAAATAAAGAAAACAGTTCAAATAAACATAGCCGCCTGATGACTAAATTTCTTTTTAACTACAAAACAAACTTTAAAAAGGGTAAAATCTCGTTTCCTCCATTTCTGAGTTTGTTTCGTAGTCTATCTTAAAGACAGGCAGGTGTGACTTTTTGCCGCACTCATCAAAAACATACACGAGCAGTGACTCAGAGGAGCATTCCAGAAGTTTCACAACCCTATCGGTACCACGCGCTCCCCGTGTATTTTTAGCTTCAATCCGGCACCCAATTCTTCCTCACCTGGCGCTTAGACGCCCAGGACATGTTTTGGCACCGACTCTGAGTCATGTAGGTCGCTGGCACCTCACTTGCTGAACACATTTCTTGTAGTCAGGGATCCTCAAACAGTTGAACTCCGACCAAAACATCTATAACGCCTTAAATTCTTCTTTCTTCGTAACTGCCAATTACTGCCTTTGTTTTACAACTTTTATGGTGTAAGGGGGGGGGGGGGTGTTTGAGCCTGAAGTTTTACGGTCGCATGGCTAGGCTGTCGCCACGACTGTGCAGGTGAGGAATTTTTTGGCCCCCGACAGAAAAAATCCCCAGCCTAACTGAGGATTCAAACCCAGGTCTCCCGCTTGAGAGCCCAGAAGTCTAACTTTCTTCGTAACACGAGATTTGTATTTGTACTGAGGGAGGCAAATAGTGTAAAAATTGTTCGGCGGGCCAGTTTTTCCTGCTGGCCATAGTTTCCCCACCACTTGCCTAATCGATACAAAACCCTGAGACCGTCGTTTTAAATTACGCAAGCTTATCTAGCCAAACTATCAAATATGCACGCTTTTTGAGTACATCGATAATGTAAATATACTGTCTTTTAATTTTTAGTGAAAGAAATAATAAAGAATTTGCAAAATGACATAAATTATATTATATAATACTCTAAAAGGTTCTAAGTTAAAACTTAATGTCTTTTTCTTGGATTCCTATATGGAAATACATGACAAAGCAGATGTGGTCAAGGCCCTTTGGAAACAAGCAACGGAATCAGAATAGCAACACGATAATTTTGACCTGGAGATAATGATGCAACTGGGTGTATCCAGGGGGTCTTGCTGGCTCACTACACTCAGGGGAAAGGCAAAACGGACATATAACCAGATTGTGACCGGTACCGTCAGCATTGTAACTCTGCGATGGCTGCTGATGATGAGGTCGGAGCATACATGGGAATGGCTCGAGTGCTGTGGTGTCATTTATTGACTCAACTCAACTATATGCATAATCATTAATTATGTATGTCATAAACAGATTTTTAAAAAATTTTGATTAAAACGTATTATAGGAATAAATTCACAGGGAGCAAGTTCAGCAGGGATCTACCAGTCATCAGTAGAAGTTATCCTCGTCGACAAGTGTTTCGGCCCACGAATCTCCTAGACACTTTCGGAGGTGGGCCCACCTGAGTTCATGAAGCTCAGGGCTGGTACCCTGCTGCACGAAATTACCGGATGGTGTTTTTCTTTCGGATAGGGACAAGACGACTTGGTGATTTATTAAAAGAAAATTGCATTTGTGGGGGAAACAAATGTAGCTTTTAACTAAAGCCGAAGTACAAGTTTAAGTATCACACGACTAGATCCATTACCTCTTAAGATCAGTACTAGATGGTTATGTGGTCAGTATTACGGCGGTTGCTTTATTTTTCCATGA